TGGAAAAAATCGTGTTTTTGAACAGTTTTTTCAAAATTGCGACTTCAATTTGTCCGACCGCCAAATTTTATTATCATATTCGTAATCAGGAGGCAAAAATACGTCGAAAACATGTCCTGAATATTTTTTTTGAGGTGACGTAGTTATTGTAAAGTTTTACCACATTATTATATTTCCATATACATACATATATATAATTTTTGGTATAATTTCTATTCGTATATAGAAAGAATAATAAAAAGTAAAATTAAAAATAAGTAAAAAGATATTATTTTACATTGTTTTTTTTTAACAAAAAGTGAAATTTTTAATTAGAAAATGTGCTTATGTATTATACAATATAATCATATAAAAATATATTAATCATATATATAAAATAGTATAATTTAATATGCATAAAAAGTAATACAAAAATGACTTTTCAAATTAATATTTAATTATTCTTATTATTTTTCTAACATATGTATACAAACATAGGTTACATGAGAAATGAAAAACATATAAATATTAAGAGTCGATTTCTTTACGTTCGTGTTGCAATTGTAATACAATTTATTTACTTTTAATAAATTGTATCATAAAGTTCAGAATTTTTTAAAGTGATACATTAATTAAAATACATAACTATCTACTTATTTTAACTATTCATAAAAATATTCACTTATTAGTATATAAAAGGGAAGATCTGGTCAATTATCTATGATATTTGTTATCTAGTGTTTGTCCAATGTTCAACAAGCAGATATACGAAGATTGGAATTACTTCAAATTTTGTATAACGTCAAGCGAGATGATATAGACTGCGATAATCTTCAACATCAAATTGAGTTATCTGCGTATCAAAGTAGGAAAGTCACAGTGATATGATTTGTATTATATTGTACATATCGCGAAACAATTTTTAAATAAATTCAAGAAATTACTTAAACGCTTAAACACATATTTTCCTGTAAATCGTAGATCAAAATGTGCCAGAATGAAGTATAAAATATGAAGTATAAAACTTATGATATTTTTCGTTAATATTTTTACACGTAGAATAATTAGAGGAATCCTGTTTGTAAAAAATGATGTGTATATATGTTTCATTTAAATTATAGACATGATTTTGATATGACAAAAAAGTTTTTCTTAAGTTAATTTGATTATTATTTATTCCTCGTAAACCAAATAATTCTTGTCTATAACATTTTTCTCTAAAATTAAAAAAAAATTTTAGGAAATATTTTTTTCAATAAAACACCTGATAAAATATAATATTACGTAATAATTACAAATAAATGTTTACATATACATATAAGTAGATTTTATACACTATTTTTTCCTACATTTATGTATACTATACCAGGATATGCGTGTTATGCATGTATTGGATAATATAACATTTAGAAAACATGAAATTTAAAGTTCGAAATTTTAATTATTGTTTTTTATAATCGAAGTTTCTCTTAAAATTAATTTTTGAGAGAATGATTTGTAAAGAATGATATATACATATCTTATTCATATTGTACTGATTATGAGTCTAAGCATCGAATTTTGAAGGTACCAAAAAATTTACGACCGTTCATGAAACGTTGGCATTCACAATGGATCACGATATACAGATAACTCGTGAACTCTTTAAAGAAAACACCCGTGAAAGCCTCAAAAATATTACCATTAAGTTTCTGTATGCTGATTTGATCTCTGACTCTAACTTCCTAGTAAACATAAATTTCAAGTTCACTAGTAAAAATGCTTGTATTTAAAACTTATATATGTAATCTAGACTGTTTTTCCGTCGTAGATAAGAATATATGAATATCAAGTAGCGTACTGAATTTAGCATAAATAAGACGCATGAAAATAATACAAACATAGGAGGCAATGCTTGGTTTTTTCAATTATATCATTAATTGCAATTAAATTAAGTGAGTTTTTACATTAACGTGAACAAAAATTTGTATACTATACATGTATATATTATATATATTTATACATATTATATATATAATAATAAATATATAATAAAAACAGAAATATATTTAAAAAATTAATAAATGATCCATTTGTATTTATAATATTATGTAATTTTTAAGAAAAGAAATGTATTATAAATTGGGACTCTTATTCATGTATAAATTGAGTTTTCCTTTGTTCACAGACATTACAAAAAGTAAGAGAGTTATAAAGAAATTTAAAAAAGATCATATCTCTTTTTCGCAAAAAATTTTTTTATTTTTTAATTATAAGTGTAGCTCGCGTAAAACACACAACAAATATGTATAGTTTTATTTATGATTTTTTACTTTTGTGTGTAATCATTATCATAAATTTTATTTTTTTGGTTTATTTCTAAAAATATATATAATACTGTTTATATAATTCTTAATTTAAACGAGGTTTAATTGTTTTATATATACATACATACTATATGTACAATAAATAAACTTTACATATAAAGATTATAAAGAATATATATGTTGATACGAGTCGACGTTAAAAGTATATAACAAAATTTACTTTTTTTCGTTTTTCGTGTAGTCCAAATTATGTTATTATCTGTATACTTTAAAAATTCCGAAGATTTTTAATAATAGAGGAAAGCCCCCTATTATGAGATAGGCACCTAATATATAAGATAGCGGCGTTTCTACTAAACTAATAAACATTATCTGTTGATTCCACCATAAAATTATTGCTCTTGGATTGAAAACTATTTAGTGGAAAATTCATTGTTAGATTATGCCTACAGCTATTGTAAAATAAAATTTTAGAATTTGAATGTTTTGAAGTTTCATTGAGAAATGAGTCTTTAATCTTTGTTTATTATTTAACGAGTAAATATTTGGCAATAAATTTTTCATGTAGTGTGATACAGTAAGATCGTACTGATAGATAAATACGGAATATGTGGAATTGTTTAATTAGAGAAGTTAGATTTGATGATCGTAAAACCGTAAGACGTGATATGAGGTATCCAGAATATTTCTAATATGAAGTAATCTATACTCCTGTGCTTGAGTGAAAATCGATGCTAAAGTATAAATGTTATTGTACAATAATAAAAAGGATAACCGGAATGAACATTGAGGATCTGTTTCTGCGATACTCTTCGTTTCAACTACCTGCAGACAAGTCCTGAATGCAATGCATCGCATGCTCAATTTGCGCGCACACAGGCTGTAGTCGTTTATATTTTAGAAACATTAAACAAAGTTTTTTTTTAATTGTAATACTGTTGTACTTTGCGCTTTATTATCGATTTCCCGGGATATCTCATATTAGAAGCACAATTTTTTGACTTTGCGATTTGTTCATTTTTTACATTTCTTTAATTGAAAAGAAATAGAATTTGAATTAAATTTTACATTATTTTTTTTAATTCTGCCTACAAACTTCTAGCATTTATTATTTAAAGTGAACTCAGTAACTTCATAATAGTCTTTCCTCTATATGTAAAAGTAATATAATATATGAAAAATTAATATAAAAATTATGTATTACTATCGTTTTATCGATAGAAACTTGTATTTTTAAAAGGAAATGAAAGATATCATAGTCGGTAATCATTACACTTCTCTGATGCAAGAATTAATTTTTTTCTCTACCAATAGATGTCGAGTATAATACTGAAATATCGTAAGTTCTTTTTAGTATCTCTGCGCATGCCTTTAAATATATAGAGATGGAGAACTATCGATAGTCGCAACCTCCCATCGATAATTACTGGAAGTTTGTTGCTTGACTATAAGATTTTATTTATTTATTTTATTTATTTATTATTTCTTAAAAGATTCACAAAACGAAACTTTTATTTTTAACAAATGTATGCTCTTATTTTTGCGAAACTAATAAAAATCGATAATTATCGATAGTTTCATATCGATAATTATTTACTTCTACCTCTGAGCACTTATTACAATTGAAACGAGATAGATATACATACATTTAACCGTTGAGAAAAGAAACAGCGAGACAGTCGAGTGCAGAAGGTGTACTCTGTATATTAAAGATCCTCTGAACTGCGCCCTCGGAAATAATGAATAATATTGAGTTTGTATACGTCGCACGCATATATCTGTAAACTCAAAACTATAAATTGAGATTAATACACGAACTGAAATGTGAAACTGATATGTGACTGCAGCATTTCTTTGTTAGATTAGAATAGAATAAAAAGATTTCAAAATGACATCAGAATTTGTGTGGGATGCCGAAAATGCGGCAGCAACATGCTCGACCGTACGTAACAATCGCAATATTTCTTCAAGGATATTTCATCCTTTCGCATGCTTTGTCGATTAACGTTCTTGTTAAAATGCTGATAATAAGCATTAGATGCGATATAAAATGACATATTTTTTTCTTTCATTAATTTGTATTATGATTTTATTTAAAAAAAGCATAAAAGTAGATAAAAATAACTATTACAAGAAATTAGAGAAAAGGAAAGATTTTAATAATAACGTAAATTAGTTACGTAAATTTTTTAAGTAAAGGGTTGTTATTTACGAATAGAATTAACTATTATATTTTGTTTGTAGAATATTCTGTTTTAATTGTTAATATAGTTTTTATATCAAAAATAGCATTCTCTTTATTCAAGATGTGTATAAAGAATATTGTTTTTTGAAAATTATCTTGTGTGTATTCCCCAAATTATAACTATATATTTCACAATAAAGAGAGATTTAATAAAAATTATATATAATTCAATAATTAAATATACTGAACTTATTTAAATCATGATTACTGTTTCTTTTCCAGACCGACGAAAGGACACCACTTTTGTCAGCGAGTGGTCAAGCCATGTCCAATGAAAAGATTGGCACTTCACAACAGACCTTGGTCTCTTCTAATGGCCAATTTGGTCGAGCTAAGAGGTTTCCACAATATCTGGCAGGCGTAGCAGCGACGCTCGGCGCTCTTGCTGCTGGTATGGTGCTCGGTTGGACATCCCCTGCCGGTGAAAATGGTGTGAACCTGGCGAAAAATTATGACATAAAGATATCCACATCTGAATTCTCCTGGATAGGATCTCTCGCTACTCTTGGAGCGGGTGCGATGTGCATTCCCATCGGCATAATAGCGGATTTAATCGGAAGGAAGACTGCCATGTTAATCATGGTAGTTCCATTCACTATTGGTTGGCTTCTGATTATCTTTTCAAACTCAGTACTTATGTTCTACTTTGGTAGATTCATTACCGGCCTCAGTGGTGGAGCATTCTGCGTAGCTGCTCCTTTGTATACAGCAGAAATAGCCGAGAATGAGATCCGCGGTACGCTTGGCTCCTACTTTCAATTGATGCTCACAGTAGGTATCCTGGCCTCGTACGTTTTTGGAGCCCTTATCGAAAATATGAAGACCCTATCGATTATTTGCGCGGTCATGCCGCTGATCTTTTTCGTAATATTTTTCTTCATGCCAGAGACTCCAGTGTACTATTTGAAGAAAGGCAATGAGGAGGCCGCCAGGAAAAGTTTGGTCAAGTTTCGTGGCAATGAATATAATATCGAAGCTGAGTTGCAGGCGCATCGTGAAGCGCTCGAAGAAACCAGACGGAGTGGTGGGTCATTCTTCGATTCAATCAAAACTCCAGCGGCCAAAAAGGGCTTCGTCGTCGCTTACGGATTGATGCTCTTCCAACAAATGAGTGGCGTGAACTCTATCATTTTTTATTCTTCAGACATCTTTTCCGGAGCTGGAGATGCTATTCAGCCCAACATAGCTACCATCATCGTGGGAGCGGTGCAAGTAGTATCAGTTTTCCTCGGTACTCTTGTTGTTGATAAACTGGGTAGAAGGATCTTACTTTTAACATCGATTACAGTGATGTTCCTGATGACTCTGCTTCTTGGAATTTACTTTTATTGTCTTGATCATACCAAGGCCTTTGATGACATTACGTGGTTTGCACTTATTCCGTTGTGCACCTTTCTCGTAGTGTTTTCCATAGGCTTTGGACCGATCCCGTGGATGATGATGCCGGAGATCTTTGCGCCAGAGGTGAAAGGAATAGCTGGGAGCAGTGCTTGTCTATTCAACTGGCTTATGGCTTTTATAGTCACCAAATTTTATTCTGACATGAAGGAGGCCGTACAATCCTATGGCACTTTCTGGATATTCTCTTTGTTCAGCGCCGTCGGCACTTTATTCGTTTACTTCTTAGTTCCGGAAACGAAAGGCAAAACATTGGATCAAATACAAAGGGAGTTGAATGGTTGATCAGAAGTTAATCAAGAATTGACTAAAGACTGTGGCAAGCAGGAGAACATACATTGTACATATTAAAGTACATTTTGTATAGAATAAATTTGTACATATAAGTTACAGTATTTAAAATATATTTTATAAATTGAGTATATTGTATCAAGCACATATCAGCGTGTGAATGTTATATTCTGTATTTGAGAATGATCGTAATGTTATTTAATATCTACATTGTCATTTTATTATATCATAATGCTATCTTCGTAATCCTCACATGGATGATTTATTAACTAGAAATTGAAAATATATTTTGATGGATAGGAACAAAAGTTCGTAGCGTTTCTTTATTTCTATTATATCTATGCTTTAAAAAAAAAATAGCAACCATACCATTCGATAGAATAAAGTTTTAGCTTTAAGAATCTGTTTTCTGAATTGTGATATGATGGTTTTTGACGGAATTATAAGCAATTAAAATAAAAATGTTTCTTTTATTTAATCCGTAACAATTTAATAACAATAAAATCTTAAGAATATATTTAGAAAAGCATTTTTTAAAAGAACATCTTAAGTTTTATGTTAAAAAATCGAAAATTTTTGTAAATTTGTTTTTTAATACATGACAAACCTATAAAGCGAAAAGAAAATTCCTAATTTTCTTCAACTCATAATTTATATATCAAAAATACTAAACTCACAGAAACTCTTAAGAGACTTGGTGGCCTTCCAAAAATAGAAATTTTACGCTTAAAAATTTTTTTTTTAATTTAAATTTCATTTATTTTAAACAAAGTTACAACTGCTTGAATATTGATGTTTCTTGCATTTATGAACTTTTGTTCTAACTAATAGTCTTTTCTTTTAATAAGTAAATAGTGACTATAAATAAATTATATTTCTCTTCTTTTTGCGAAATTACATTAATATATTCACTTATTTAATATATTCACACATTTATATAATAAATATTTGTTAAAAATATGACAAATTGAAATTCATAAGTGTAAAATGCTGTTCGATATTATTATCTTATTATATCTGCTTTAAGGCTGGTATTCATAGTCGATTCTTATATTCAATATTATTCTTATATTTAAAATCGTCTTAAGTATATTTAAGACAGTCTTAAAATGTTAAAAAATAAGATAATCATAGAAGTATATTAACATCTTAAGATATTACTTAAGATAAGAATAGACTATGAATTGCGACATATGTAAATAATAATTTTAATATAACTCACAAACTAGTTTAGTTAATTAGCTCTTTGAGAGTTCAAAGAGGGATCAGTATTCAATGATATTATGATATTATAGCGATTTTTTTACATATATTTACATTTAATTACATTTAATTACATTATATTTTAAGATTTACTGACTCTTTGGTAAATTTGTATAAAAGTTTCTATCAATTAACTACAAATTATTCTATTTAAGTTGGCGTTATTATTACCACATATGTGGTATATGTGATACTTATTATTTACTCACTATAATAAATTATTGTAGATCATCCAAAACAAATTTAATTCGCTCTTTTTTGATAAAGTATATTGCAGGTGAAAGACTGCACATCTACGCCTCCTGCTATTCCGAGTCTCGCAATAAATTAAGACAATTGTCTTTATTACAGTTTCTTCTTTATCCTATTTTTATCATAATCTTGTTTCTTATTTTCATTATTTTTTATTTTCTATTACAAAAATTTATACTTTTCACAGTCTTAACAAATATTTATTTTAATATATTAGGTATAAATAGACAATATAAATAAAAAGAAGAAATTATTCTGAAGAAAAAAGTTATATAAGATAAACAATTAGCTTGATACATTTTTTATTTAGACATAGATATTTTTTTAAATGTACGTTTTGTTTACAAACGCACACATACGTACACACCACACAAACTTTTATTCATCCTCATAAAGATATTTTATTTCTTACATATTGGATCCTCCCTTATTAAATTTTTTATATTTCAGCATTTGGCTGAAAAGAAGATACTTCAAAATTTATTTGTAGATTATAATATTTATTTCATTAAAATTCTATTTGAATACAGCGACATAAAATTTTATTTTTGCAAATAAAGAATCTATTTTTTTATAATTAATAAGAGAAAAATAAAATACTCGTATATATTCTGTTTCAGTCACATTTTTTTAGTAATTAATAAATATCGAAGAAAACATTTCAAATATTTGTTTTTAAATATTTTAATTTTTTCTTAATATATTATTAATAAACTCCATAATATGATCCATTTATTATTGATTTTAAAAATCTAGACGTGGAAAAGTTAAAAAATTATTAAACAAGAATTTTTTAATTTTTATTACCTGTTGTATGAAATTATGCTAAATATTATTTAAAATTTTATTGTCATATTTTATTAATAAATTAAAAAATTCCCATATTCAGAACACGTTTATTACGATATTAGTATATGGTGCATATTTAGACTGTGTTTGAGGGATGCGCTATCAGCACTGTGCATCAATCTGTCTTTATTTTAAGTCTAATGAATGATAAAGATAGAATAAGAGAGAAAGAGAGAGGAAGAGAAAGAGAATAGCACTGATAGCGCAATTCTTAAACACTGCTTAGCATGTATATGTAATTTACGTTATATATATATTATGAAATAGAAATAGAAGCACACACAGTTTAATAAAAGCTCGTCATGAATTCGCGAACTTAGGCAGTTGCTAAAATTTTATATCGATATCATTTTTGCACTAAATTTTATCTCCGACAATGTAGTAGACATTTTATATAATCTGGTCTCGACAGGGACTTGGCTATGATTTAAATATGTCAAATGTCAATCGTTAAATTGTCATTTATGTAACTTTTGAATTACGAATAATCTAGTACGCAGTTGTCTCTGAATGAAATACGTTCATTCAAAAATATATTTGAAAATGTGACATACTTTTATTCAGAAAAAATTGAAAGCATTTACAATATCGAGAATACAACTATTAAAGCCAAAATCGCAAGGAAAAAAATGTTTATATTTGGTCAATTAAATATACTGTAACTTTGATCGAGACTTCGATCGGGTGCAATCCGAGATAATAAATTATCGATAAGATATTAAAAAAAATAGATATAAGTATAATATATTGATAATATTATTTCGAAATATCATTTGTGCAGGAATTAAATAACGACAGACTTATTTTCTGTATACTGGAACAAAATATTCTAAAATCAGTGCTTTTCCAGCATTCACAGCGTTATTACAATAATTTAAAGTGTTGCATGCAATGAACATGTGATACGCTGGTAACAGACGCCAAGTGGCTGCACCTACGCATACGGATGTGTTCCAAACACAGAATGTTAGTATTTTTGACTGCATTATATGTCACACTTTCTATATTGAAGGGGTCTTCTATATTTAATATATACCTATTATAGAAGAATAAAAAACAATTGGTTTTTTCTTACATATTTTTAAAGTTTGATATTTCAGACAACAAAAAGTTTAAAAGCGAAGTATAACGACGTTTTAAAGATGCCTTTTAAAGACGTTTTTTTAAGTATCTTGAAGAGATGTCTTTCGTTTATGGACATGCATGTTGTTTGGGATCTAAAGAATGTTAATTTGCAAAATTATAAATCGAAAAATGTAAAAGTTACACATGATTAAATATAGTCAAACATGGCCAAGCGCGCCGAGTTTATTAGATGAATGTATATCTGAAATAGGATCTTCCAAAATTCTCTATAGGTATAAAGAAAGATCTTTCTCATTTTTAATATACTCACCAAACCTTTAAACTGTATAATTCGATCGGTTTGGCAATAGTAATTGTCGTTTGGACGTTTAATGTTTTGGTATTCTAATAAAAATAGAACATTAGACGCGTTTTTGTATTGTAAACAAAACTTTCAACTATTTTTTCTCAAAACATAAAGATGGCTTGACTGTAATTAGCGACTTGCAATTTTACATACTTTTTCTAGACATTAAACATAGTTCTTGTGACCAGTGCTGCGCTTAGATAATTAAAAATTATCTAGATATAGATAAATGACACAAAAATTTATCTTAGATAAGATGAAGATGATTAATTTTACATTAATCTAGATAAAAGATGAAATTAAAAAACTTTTAAAAATATATTCATATTTTTATAAATCTTTATTTTTTAAGAATAACAATTTTTCGAACATATCATCTGATAAACGGTTTCTACATGGAATTAATATTTATTATCCGCAACTAAAAAGATGTTCTACTGGCGCTGATAATGGTAATGATGTATTCAATGTCGCTTTGAATGACTGGTGTCAAACTATCAATTTTTTGTCTATTCCGCAAAAAAAATTTTCATCACTACTGGAGGTTGATTGTTCACATAAAAATTTCTTGCAATACTCTTCTACAATCTTAGATAAATTGAAGAAGATAACATTTTTTTTAAATCTAAAATAAGATAAAGATAGTATATATTCTTAATAATCTAGATAAAGATAAGATAAAACTATTTCTTCATCTAGATGATTATGTAGATAATTTTATCTAGATAACGAAAAACACTGCTTGTGACATAGGTCTTTTATGGTGCCCCATTTATTTACAATAAAAGACCAACACAATTTTTAGCGAAAAATCGATTTTGATTTTGATTTTGATATTTGTTATCTTGTCCAAACGCGAGAATATTTTAAAAAATTCGGCTATGATAAGGACTAGATTCATATTTTAACTTTATAGAACTTGTGTCGTTCGCTTTCAAATAAATTTTGTGGAAATGACCATGTTCATCGCAAACAGTGATTTTTAAAACAAGCTTTACAAGAATAATAATAACGTTACCATTTTTAATTATTTTTTAATAAAATTTCAATTATAAAGAGAAAAAATACAAAAAAATACGATTTCTTTATCTCTTTCCGTTTTTCTGCAAAAAAAATTCACAAAATTAGGTTTTATTTTGATGCGTCTAGATATAGTATAGATTTCTTTAAAAAAGAAATAGAGACATATAGTTAGAGATATACAGAATGAAAAAAAATTGTAAAGAAAATTACTTTACCGCGTTTATTTTAACTTGATATTCCACAACTGATATATTAATTAATGGCTATGCGTTCAGCAGAAAAAGCAGCTTTGCAACTGTTGTAAAATTTTTGAATATGATTAGCTTATACATTTAAATCTAATGAGAAAATAAGGGCAAGACCAATCATATTAAAGAATTTTACAACAGTTGCAAAGCTGCTTTCTCTGCTGAACGCAACCAATTTTATATTGAATGGTCCAAAGAGACAAGAAAGTCAAAATAATATCAATTGACATCACATCGACCGAACCATGTGAGATGAAAAAGACATAAATTCAGTCAATAATTAGACAATAATAATAATTAGTCAATGACATTAAATTGATTTTGTTTTGACTTTCTTATTCTCCTTGCAGAAAGTAATTATTAATGAGAGATAATACATTATAGATGGCATATTTAATTATGTTTTGCATCTGTATGGACGTAGTATTTTTGTGGTATTACAAAGCTGATTTATAAATATGTACATCGGTTTAAAGAACTTATTGATTTTTTATTAAATTGTATTGTTATCGATAGTTATTATCATGATTAGGGTGAGAAGAGATGCGCATTATAAAATCCTTTTGCGTCAAAAAGAAAATAAAAATTAAAGAAATAAGTGACCAATAAATTTATTTATCAATTTTTTCGATAAAAATAAAAAGAAAATAAGAAAGGTTGAGAAAAGAAGTTTCGTACGTCAAATATTGAAGGTTGCAGCCTCTCTCTTCCCTTGTCTGCAGCGCGCGCGTCCTTCGAGTTAAATTAATTGATCAGCTCTTTAGTATCTCGTATGCGGAAACTTCAAACGCGGAAACTTCCAACAGTTATGGAAAAAAATCTTGTAAAAGGCGGACGAAAGATAATATTTCTGTCCGAGGCGACCATCGACCTTTCAACGTGATAGTCACGATATTCTGAAGTATAGAAGTCAAATGATCACTCTTTTCCGACGTGAAACGAAGTTAGGAAAATATATGAACAAAAATATGATATAGAAAAATAATTTTACTGCGTCAGTCGCGATAAAAAATTAATTGCAGCTAATCATTAATCTTAAAAACTTCAGCCATGAACTGCAAATGTACATTTTTTTACAAACCTCTTTTTTTTACTATGTATGTTTTATTAATAACACGCGCTATATATGTATTTATTATTTGTATCAAATTTACGATTAGATGTTGTAATTATTACATTAATAATGTAAATATATATATTACATGCACAATGTATTTCTAATTAAACAATTACAAAAATTTGCTATTTCAATTATATATATAACATTTTTATAATAAATATTATATTCTATTAAAATAGGAAAATATGCTATAGTGTCGATCTTTTAATTAAATTTTAGTGCTTAGTATAACATCTTTGTGTGAGTTGTACATATTTAGTTCTATTTAAATTACGCGTCGATTTAATTTTTGGTCTTAAAACGAAATTAAAAATAAAACTAAGATATAATAATGTCACAAATTAAATTTACAAGTGATTTAATTATATTAATAATAATTTTTAAAGACTGTAAATAATTTGTTGCGAAAAATATTATGTCAGTTAGGATTCGAATCTGGGCCTCGCTATATTTCGATTGTAATAAAAATATATTTTTATCAATTTTTGCATAAGATCTTGGACAGTTACATTATTTAAGAACTTTCATAATGTTATATTATTTCATAACAGAAGCATGTTTGCAAATGTGGAGGTACTGTTACGTAAAATATCAAATAAATTATTTCAACTGCGTATATAGATATATATTCTAAAGGTTAATTAGAGTCAAAAGTCTTAACGCACGAAAATATCAAAGTCACGATAATTTCAGCATTATAAGTAATTAAAGTTAGCGAGTAGAGTTTGCACTTTCTAAGTAATATAATTGTGAGTACATGTGCACGTGTGGATATCGATCGCTCCATTATTTACATAGCTCAGTTTTGTTTTTACTGAGCAACTAATTTTATCTTTTTGTTGTGCTTATTATGATAATAATGCATTGCAAATGTTACGTAAATTTCAACGTTTTAATCAGGACTTATATATCTGACGCAATTATTGTTTGTAAAAGAGTCCAAATAAAAACTTCAAAATAAAATTTTACTTGCCGATATCATGCTTGATAGCAGATATGGAACGTGCAATAACGGAATATCTGTGTAAGAAATTAAGGGTTCAATAAGATATATAGGATGTATATTGTTGCATCACAGAATTAATCAACGTCAGATTTGTTACTAAAATTGCTGTTACTAATTATAAGTGTCGCCTACGATCGATTTAGTAATCGATTTATTATTAGTATATATCGTACGTAACTCGAACACAGCACGGAACATCTACAGCAAAAACTTTGAAGCAATATTAGACTATTTTCGTAGGAATGTTGCAACATTTTTATTATGTCACGTTATTAAAATATTCTGCACTTTATGCCTACAGTCAACGTCAACTAAAAGTAACGTAACGATGTTATAATTTCGTATTTGACAATGCAATTGTTATATATATATATATATTGTTGAGTACGAAATTATGACATCGATGTTATGTTACTTTTAGTTTGCGTTGCCTAAATGGGGACATCTTCATATTCTGTCATGTCGTGTCTGATGGCGCGTTGTAAAGCACGAATCATACTATATTTATAGCGACTAACGAAAATTGGTCAATCAATTCGTTTATATAGTAAAAAATATTCGTTGCAATGCTCCTACAATAAGCTCAAATGCTGAAATATTCTATAAATATAAATATGCTGTAGGAGCAGTTTTATTTTAATAATAATAATAATAATATGATATTTTCTATTAATATACAATATAATAGCTTATCGATAGATATCGGATAGATCTATCAAATCAAGTGTGGATCTAATACAAAGTTACAAATTAAAGATAATTGTTAAGTGTTTAAAAGTAGAGTTATATACATTTTAAGAAATTTTCTTGTTATGAATAATCATTTTAAAACTGATTTAAAAAGATAATGTTTAGTTTTTTTTATGTCATTTTTAATTTTTTTTTTAATGGAGCTTCATAATATTTTTGTAATAAAGTCCAAATGTCAGAGATAAATTTTTTTTTCTTTCATTTACAAATATTCTACATAGCAAATATATTTTAGTCTTGTGAGAGAGTGATCGATTATAAAGATTTTATTCTCGCTTAATTTATTTCAATAACCTCACAAATAGAAAAATTAGATTAGCTTTATTCGACTCAGGTATCTCAGTCGTTGTTTTACTATTAAAAGAATAACTGAAGAAACTTGAAAATAAAGCACAACGCAAAAGAGAGTAAAAGAATTATATAAATGACTGTAAACGCATAGCTTTTTATTACATACCATAAGTAGGGGACAATTTTTTACGAATTATACACATATATTTTCAGACAATGGAGAAAATACAATTTTATATTAAAAGAATTATAAATTTTCATCATTTTTTATAATAAATGCGATAGTAAATACCGGCGATTTATAATATTGATAGATATTGATAAACATAATTAACATTAACCAGCAAACATCAACTAATTGCATAATGTAATTATTAGTTATAATTTCCTAACTGTTAGGTTATGCAACATGTATAATGTGTTAAATTATATATTGTTGAGTGGGGAAAATTTTAACTAAAAGACAACAAATATACTCTTATTGTTAATATTTACTATCATAATTTCCTACTCAAAACAATGTATAATATAATTTAAACAAATTTAAAAACGGCTATTAGGAGTCATCACTCCTAATAGCCGTTTTCAAATTTGTTTACACTATTTTATAATAAGGAGTCCTTTAATATTATGATCGCTTTATAATATAATTGTTATGTACAACGTGTGTTATATGTATATATTACTGAATAGACCATTATAATGTTGCTGATAATTTTATGAAGTCCAAAATCGGAACACATGACGTCCCTTATGCCAGTTTCTACCAATGTAGGTTAACTTTAATCTCAGTTTAACTGCTCTCAATGTTTTCTAATGTTTAGAACGAGAAAGAGTTGAAGAGTTCGTTGAACGAAGATTAAAACTAAACTACATTGGTAGAAACAGAGAGACCCTAGACACATCTTTTAGACAGCTGTCGCACAAATATCTGCAAGACGTCTGATCGTAACTGTCTTACATCTTGAATTTAAACTTTTAATTGTTTTCAGAGATGTTATTGTTACGTATTTACCGGGTATTCGTATCGTGACTGTGTCAAGATCATATATCGATCGTTGCTTCGCTCTCTCTCTCTCTCTCTCTCTCTCTCTCTCTCTCTCTCTCTCTCTCTACTGTTTTCGTTACTTTATTGATGCCGGTTCACGTCGATAACGGTTATCGCGAATATCAGTATCAATATATCAATTGCAGCTAGATATTGTTCCGTTGATGAACCAGCGGTGAACCCGGTCTGTCGACGGTTGCCGTAACGATATAGTATATTGTTACTGATAATAAGGCATGAATCGAGCAGTACGTACGTGGAAAAGGGGAGAAAAAGGCGTCGATGCCGACGGAGAGGAAACGGAGGAGCTCGCGTGGTTTCTCGCCAGCCAATCGCGCTCACGGATTGTGGTCCGACACGAGAGCGCTGGTGGGAGGCCCACGACCAGCTGGTCGCGCGGTGCGGGACGGTGTGCGGTGCGGCTGCGGGACGGATTGCCGTCGTTGTCACCGTTCGGCTGCGTGATCTGTGCCTCGGAGAGCCGGGAGAGGTGCGAGTTCCGGGTGTGTGTGTGTGTGCATCGGTCCATCTCGTTAACGCGTGAATGCAACGCGCGGCGTGATAAGGACGCGCCGGAGTCCTCGTCAGAGTTCGTCGGACTTGGCGCGCGCGGAGCCGCGCGGCTCCAGAGGGAGAGAGCGCGAGAGAAATTGGGAGGGGCGAGAGAGGTACGGCGCCGCTGCCGCTGCAATTCCTGCCAGTTCCGATCGACGATGCTCCCCGTATAAGTGTCCTTCCCACGCTCGTCCCAGCTTCATGCGGCTACGTTGCGCGTGAACGACAATCGGCGATTGTCGGTTTCCTTGTTCTCTCGCATTTTTCGGAGCACTCCTCGCGCGGAGCTATAAGCGGCGAGTTGCCAATTCGGTCCGTTCATTTCTCTCCTTTCCATCCACCCGGCACCATCCACCTCGGTGGTCTGTCATCTTTTCGGAGCTCTCGGCACGCGGCCGTTCTCTCTCTCTCTCTCTCTCACACACACCTCTCGTCAGTGACAGCCAGGTGCGCGTGCACTCGCAGAGACTACGCCGACATAGACACGATGAACTACGGGGACATGCCGAACGTGGATCCTGCCAGGTAAGTCGCGGGGTTCCCCCGCGTTTTAACATGTATACCCACTTCTCCCTCGATGTCGAAACGACTTCAAGTCTCACGTTCCTTTCGTTAGAACCGCATCTCACGGCAAGTCGCGCGACCACATTTTTGTGCCGAGTATATACATACCGGATACCGCGTAACTGCACGAGGCGAAAATTTGTTTTCGTTCGTATGGCCGGCCCCGCAAAAGTCGATTGGCCAATTTTGGAGCAGTACACGGTCGGGCGAGCTAAATGAAATCGCGACTTGAACACGTTGCAACATAATCCCCAGCCACGTATATGATAAGGCCTTGACGAAACTTTTCCACAACGGAACGATCTGCGTGCAAGAAGCCGCTCGATGAACGGATGGGCCGCAAAACTCGCCTATACGTTCGCAAGTGTGCTCCACTTTGAGGTGTTCTACACGAGAGCTGTGGTATTGTGGTTGGGATTGAATCTCCGTTCGCGTTGCTTGATCTCCAAACATTTTTGCACAAGACAAATACTCTCTAATAAATCCTTCAGAGTGGGATCTATCTTTAAAGAGTGAAAGAACGAGTTAGTTTCGAAAAACAGTGGCTCAATTTTCGATCTTTATAGAGTGATGATTCACTCTGACCGTAAGAGTTTTAAAGCATAACTATATATATATATATATATATGTAAGTATTGTGTGAAGAGGAAAAGAGAAGATTCTGAGTGCAAAAAGTGCAAGCAATGCGAAAACATCGGTTTTTCTTGCCAAGTGGAAAACACGTCCCTGTCATGCTTTACGCAATGCTTCCGTAGGTGTACTTTTTTATTAGATACTTTCTTCATGATCGAGTCACTGGCTAATATTACATTTGCCCGTTTTTTTCGTACGACACATTTTTCAAACGTTACCATAGCACACAGGTATAGAGTTTTATCAGCCGTACTTTTTTAAGGGAGCACATGTATTCTTTTTCAGATAAAACTTCGGGTCGTTAGTTAAAATTTTTTATTTATAAAAAATACGACTCCGAATTTTGGAATCTAAATGTAAGATTTTTTTGTATCTTCCACGCTCCGTTAACAGCATATGACTCTGTATAGCCTTTTATACTTGTTTAATTTTGATGTTTTTTTTTAACTGTAAAGAGTCTGTAATTCAATTTAAATTCACTTCTTTTTATTTATTTATTTATAAAATTATATTAATCAGAATTGTTAATAAAAATTATGTGTTTTAGAAATTTATTTTATTAAACGCCCCTACATTTAATACTTCAAACAATTATACCACTTTCCGCCCCGGAATTATCTATTTTTTTATAAAATATATATATGTATTCTTTCTTTTCTTTTCAGATATAGTAATCCTATACGTACAAAAAAATGTTAGCAGTAAGACAAAAACATTAAGAAAATTGCTACTATTTACATTACGATCTTACAGTCTCTACTGTGATTGGCTGATTCGCTTACTGTTCATGTTTTACTGTTTGAGTTTCTTTGTATGCCATGATCTTTAATTGGTTGCAGGACAAAGAGGTTTTTGAATCTCTCTCTCCTATAGCCAATTAACAGGCTTGAAAAATTTGTCATACGACAAGAAACGAATAAATGTTACATTTATAGCCTCAAACTTACTCTACAATGTGTGTTTTAACGAAAAAGGCAATAGACAAAGGGAGAAACAGGAAACAAAGAGCACATTGTAGATTAAGCTTGATGTTGCGCGACAATGCGATGACAAAACGAAAGGACAAGAAAAATCTGAGATATCTCAGAGGAGAAATGTGTATTTCGTTAGACGTGTATTTCGTGTTTGCAATCTCCCTAGTCAGATAACTAGCTTTGCAACCTGTACCAGCCGCACAGGTTGTAAAATGCGACGACGAATGTTGAAACTGTAGTTTCGTATAAAGTACAGTGCACGCAATGTCGGACAACTCATACACTTGTATCTATGTAATTATATTATTATTATTATACATTCACTGTCATTACTGACTTTAGGAATTTCCTAATCGAATGCGCTGGGTTTGCATTTAGACTCGAATTTTGGTATTTTCCAGAGTTCTCCGCACATGTGTAGAAAATTAATATATATAAGTTTGAAATAAGTAATGTTTTTTTTGACTATTACACACGTTCCACTGATGTAAATATTACATTACGAAAATTAATAAACGGCGCGTGTATCTCTCAAGATACATTATATTTCATTAATTTAATAAGACACACAAAGATGATGTAAAATCCAACGGAACTTGAAATATAACTGGTTTCGCGCATAGCAAATTATCTATATGATTTATGCATAAGCATTATATTTTTGTATCAAAATATCAGACATTTTTAGTGTTTATTTTTTAATAACATTTGCATTCTTAATATAATATATCGCAACAGCGAACAGTAATGTTCTTCCTTAAATTTTTTTTCTTTGAAAAATTTATGAAAACAAATAATAAATTTTATAATTCATTAATTTAAATATTTTATTATGTTAAAACATTTCACTTAGAATCACTCTTAATAACACGCATTAAAGATTTTTTAATTTTATAGTAGCAGCAAAGTAATTATGTATGCGAGTTTTTTTACTGGTTCAGTAGTTAGTGATTTTTTTTATCGGCAGTAAATCATTAGTGTGGTTTTAGACAAAGAGAGATGTAATTTTATGACCAAGAAATTATAAGGTCTTTTATTAATTACAAGTATAAAAAATATGTATGTATTATATAACGAATATATATATAGTAATATATATATTTAATTTATAGACTATATATTAACTAATATATAGGTTTAATATATTATTATTAATAATATTATATCATGTATAATGAGAATATATATTAATCATACTTGTTATCTCTATAATACGTTCTTATTTGCTTTTAATGATTTTTTAAAATTAATCTTTTTTTAATAATACGATATATATTTTACATAAATTATTTATTAAAATAATATTCACATACTTTTTTTTATTATTGTATTTAAAAAAGATACTGCATTTGCTATACAAAATTAAAAAAAAACGATTAATGAATTATACCCTAAAACACATTATTTATAAAAATAGCTTGTAACTTTTGTTTCAAGTAATTTAGGTATTATGCCTGTAAAATTTGAGCTCGATTTACCATCCCGTTCCTGAGATATAACATATAACCAATCAAACTTCGCAGATTTTTCTATATTTATCATTGTCGTATAGCTATTTCCGCCGTGATATGACACGAATTTTTATATAGCATCGAAACCTCTTTCAAGAAGTTAATGAAAAACGAGTCTTATGTAGTTGAATTGATGAAGGAACATGTGTAACAAGACCATAAATATTCACCATATGATATTAAAGTTTGAATCAATAAAAAACTCTTGATTTTATACATTCTCTCGAGAATTGACGAAGTCTAGTAGGTATGGCAACGTCGCACTTTCAATACAAATGTGATCATCACATAGATTTGATATATCTCGTCTCTTATCAAGAGTGAGATTATGTCATTTCTGTCGTTTCTTCGCAAGAGCCGCTTTGCATTTTTCTTTTCTTGCTAAAACTTTACTTTTAATATGTTTTCCTTTATATCGTAATTGTGCGGACATTTTTGTCTTTTATATAAATTTCTTTAATATAAATATTTTAACAGCGGTGCTTGTCACTGTATTCGTCTACTGTTACGCTCACGTAACCGTTGTTACGTTTTAACGCATGGAAAGTTTCATATTTTTCCCTAAACCTTCTTAATAAACCTTGTTCCCTGCCATTATTTTATTACTTTCATCAATTACTTTCCTTTCCTTTTTGTCCTTTTATTTTCCTTTCAATTTAACCCTTTTGAATATTTCCCTTTTGAAAACCTCTTTCGAATATTCAGTTTTACGATGTTTTTAGAATTATAGGCAAAACAGGGGTACATGTCTAACGAATTTATTTTATGACTCTTCTTTAACAGACTCTTGAGTCATCGTTACTTTCTTCCAGGTTTTCCTTATCCCTTTTACATACATTTTTGGTACTTAAAAATCTCACGTTATTGGTTGGAGCTGATAGAAGACTCCACCTCTTTAGTCAATGAAAAGATCCTTCTAGCTCAGTTCGAGTTAGTCTAATTTTCTAAGCCGTACTCTTGTCATCAACCTTAGCTCGCTAGTCTACAGTTTGCTTGTAACACCGTTGAATAAAGCTTGGTCAAAAGACAGTCGTCGAACCTTTTCTCATTGGGCGCGTTCAGCGGACTCAACAGTTGAGTGAGCGCTCGCTATTATTGGTGTATTCTTTTAGATCATCCAATCAGAATTTTAGATCTGGAAGAATACACGAATAATAGCGAGCGCTCACTCAATTGTTGAGTCCGCTGAATGCGCCCATTATTACAAGTTGCGGCGTTCTGCGCTCGTAACACTACTCGTAAAAATGTGACGTTGCCACGATTTAATTTCTCTGATGTACTACGTAGATTTTCCTTCTTTTCTTAAATTAATTTATTTTATCATGATTTAATATTGCAAGTGCATAAAATACATTGTTTTTTCATTTTTATATTTTACATAACAATATATATTGATTTAAATTGAGAGTTATGTTTGAGTCTGTCTCCTTTAGTTGGGGTACAACTATATCTTAAAGTAAAAAAAGTCAGAGCATAATGTTAAATGAAAGAAATTAAATCATTAAGAAACGTTGAATATTATAAAATAATAATAAATTATTGTATAAATATGTATATACATTTTGCATAATTATTGTATGTATATCATATAATTACATGAATGCACTATTTGTAAAAGACGTACGTATGTGTATACATTTTGCAATTTATTATTCAGAATTATGTCTGACGGATATAATTGCGTCCGTTAAAAAAAAATCGAACGCAAAAGAAATGATTGGCGAAAGAAGCGGTCACGTGCGCATCGAGGCGCAAAGTAGCACTCGAAGGAGTGAATTTGGAAAGAATTGTCGGCGCAATTTTACGCGAAGCACGTCCCGCCTTTCGGTCTTGGTCATCGTCT